CCTCTTCCTCTCTCTCTCTGCTTGGAAGGAAGAGCCTATCTTTGTGTCTCTGGGGCTGCCCATAGTACTGGCATGTGTCTCTTTAGTCTTAGAGTTTTGAAAGGTCCTGCATAATCTATTCAGCCAGGAGAGTACTGAGATGGTGGCTTGGGCTTGTAGATACCAAGTTCCTCCCCCTGCCTCATCATGGAGTGAGCACACAAACCCACAGTTGCCTGCTTCTCCTTCTCCTTGCCCACCTTCTCTCTTTCTTGTTGAGGTGATTGTGTGATTTTTTTCTCCTTTAATATGTTGAATTATATTGATTCATTTTGAGGAGGATTTATACCAACCTTGTATTCCTGGGGGGAAAATATTTTCCTATTTTACTTGGTATGTTTTGTTAATGTTTTGTTGAGGATATTTACATCTGTTCTCATGAGTAAAATTAATTTCTAATTTTTCTTTTCCATTTTTTCTTTGTTGGATTTTCTTATAAGGTTATGTTGACTTCATAAAATAAATTGTAGACTGTCACTTTCTTTTTGTATTGTCTAGAAAAGTTTGGAAAACTTGGAACTATTTCTCTCCTAAAATGTGAAACTGTTTGGGAAGTGATGTCAACAAGATGATAGAGTAGAACACTCCTTTCCCCAACAAACACACTGATTCAACCATTCATGGACAAATTCCTCTTTTGAGAAACTCAGCATCTGATGAAAAGGCTCCTGTGTTCTGGGAAAATGCAAAACCAGACTTGACAAAGCTAATAGGGATATTCAGGAAACCCTTTCTACCAGAATCCCTACCCCTGGCACAGTGCCATATGATCAGGAAGATATGTTCTAACTCCTAGCATCAGCAATGGGAGGGAAAAAGTTGGTCCATGCATGTAGAAGCCCAAATTTTCCCACAGAGTACTGAGATGGTGGCTTGGGCTTGTAGATACCAAATTCCTCCCCCTGCCTCAGCATGAAGTGAGCACACAAACCCCCAGTTGCCTCATTTTCCCTAAGAAAGAAAAGTGTTGGTGCGGTCATTCAACACCATGACTTTTCCCAAGGGATTGGCTTTTCACTTGTCTATCTCAGAGTACTGATGGGGTCTGTCATAATCTAGCCAAGTAGGGGCGAATGCAGAAAAGAGATTGAGATTTTGGTTTGTAGTCATGATATGCCTACCCCCACTTGGTTCAGCATAAAGCAAATAGACAAAATAACCTTAGTTCCTCACTTCTCCCTGGGGAGAGAAAGGGTTAGTCAGAGTATCCAGCAATCCATCATTCCTGTGGAGGTCATCAGAAGAATTGGATTCAGTTTTACTTGAACTAGTGCACTGATGTGACCGAGCATAGATTATTAGTTACAGGACTATTCAGATATTTCTAGTTCTTGTTTATTCAGCTTAGTAAATTATATTTTCTAGGATTGTATTTATATTGTCTAAATTTTCAACTTCATTGGCATAAAGTTGTTCAGATACCCTCTTAATATCTTTAATTTCCCTTCTCTCTTTTTTATTCCTTACTTGTCTTACCAGAGATTTTTCCAGTTTTTTTTTTTTTTTTTTGTAAAAACAAGGTTTTGGCTTTGTGGGTCCTTTCTATGTATGTTTGCTTTATATTTCAGCAACTTCTGTTAGTATCTTTATTGTTTTCTTTTGTATACATTCCTTAGATTTAATTTGCAGGTTTTTAAAATAATTTCTCAAGATAATTTTTAGCTTTTAAATTTATAACCTTAAAAAATATTTATCATGTAACATTTAATACATTTTCTTAAAATTGTTGCTTTAGCTATAGCCACAATATTTTAAGTAATTTTTTATTTATATATAGCATCTACAGAGTAAAACAGTATACATATTGTCGGTATAAAGCCTGTTGAATTATCAGAAAGTGAACAAACCTATATAACCACTGTCAAGAAAAGAATTACTATGTTACCAACCTCCCTGGATATCTGTCATGCCTAGTCCACAAATTTTAATATATTGTGTAATGGATAATTTTATGTGTCAACTTGACTGGATTAACAATGCTCAGATAGCTGGTAAAAACATTATTTTTGTATGTGTCTGTGAGGGTGTTTCTAGTAGAGATTAGCTTTTAAATCAGACTATGCAAAGAAGATTCACCCTCATCAATGTGATGGACATCACCCAATTCATTCAAGGTTCAGAGAACAAAAAGATGAAAGAAGGAGGAATTTGCTTTCTCCATCTTTTCCACCCCTCAGACATAGGAACTCAGTTCTCAGGCCTATGGACTCCAACTTAATTATACCACTGGCTTTCCTGGTACTCTAGTTTGCACATAGCATATTGTGGGATTTCTCAACCTCCATAATCATGTGAGCCAGTTCCCAGAATAAATCTCTTACACACATGTATACATAGTATATCTCCTATTCATTCTTCAGTATTTTATTATACAATTAAAATTATATTATACAATTCAAAATATTTTCCAATTTCCTTTATAATTTTCTTTGACCTGTTAATTATGTAAAAATCTTATTTCTGAATTTTTAAACATGCAAGGATTTTCTAGGCATCAATTTAGTAATTGCTTTTAGTAATTGATTTCTAGCTTAATTGCATTATAATTGATTTCAGACTTTGAAATAGGTTGAGATATGCTTTGTAGAAAGATATATGGTCAATTTTCATAAATAATCTGCATATGTTTAAAAGAAATGTATTTTCTGCAGTTTTGGGGGAATGTGTGTACATACATGTAAATTCACACACATATAAATTTACATTCAGTTTGTTGTTTATTTTTCTTAAATGTTTATTTTTTAGTTGTAGTTGGACACAATACTTTTATTTTATTTTAATTATTTTTATGTGGTGCTGAGGATAGCACTCTACCTCTGAGCCACAACCCCAGCCTCATGTTTATTTTATTTTAATATTCTGTACTCAAACTTATATTTTGCATACTTTGTCAAGCACTGAGATGAGGTATTAAAATGTCCTATAAATATTATAAGTTTGCCTATTTCATCATCTAATTTGATAGTTTTTGCTTTATATATTAGAGGCTCTATGTGTATACAAAATTAGAATTGTAATATATTTCTATTTGTTGAAGTTTTATTGGCATAAAGTGAGCCTTTTTATATCTTGTATTTTTGCCTTAAAGTCATTTTTATCTGACATTACTATGTCCACATTAAAGCTAAAGATGTAGCTCAGTGTTGGAGTGCTTGCCTAGTATGCACGAATCCAGAACTGCAAAAATATGTGTGTGCATGTGCGTGCTTTCTTTGGTTAATATTTTCTCAGTATATCTACTTTAATCCTTTTACTTTGAACCCGTTTGGATTTTTTGTGTACCATTATATATTAGACATGCTATTTATAAACAGAAAATAGTTAGATATTTTTAATATCTAATATTTAGATTTTTTAATCCAGTTTGAGAATTTTTTTTCCACTGGACATTTAATTTTTAAAAATTTAATATATTGATATAATTGAGTTTATGTCCACATCTTAATTTAATACTTTTTTTGAAAAATATTTTTTAGTTGTAGATGGACACAATACCTTTATTTTGCTTATTTAATTTGTTTATGTGGTGCTGGGGATTGAATCCAGTGCCTCACACTTGCTAGGCAAACACTCTAGCACTGAACCACAACCCCAGCCCTTAATTTAATTCTTCTATTTGTCATTTCTGTCTCTTTTTCTCTCCTTTCTTGCTATTGATTTTTTAAAATTGATGTTTACTTTTAGAGTTGTTTTAGGTTTACAGAAAACTTGAGTGAGAAGTACAGAGTCCTTTCGACACATTTGACATATTTGTTATCATGCAGAATAGTTTCAATCCCTTGTACTTCACTTATTCATTCATTTTTCCCTCCTACTGACCTCCTGAAAACAACTGATTTTTTTTTAACTATCCATGTAGTTTTGCCTTTTCCAGAGTATTACATAGTTGGAATCATATAGTATGAAGCCTTTTCAGATTGGTTTCTTTCTCTTGACAGTATTTAATGTATTCATTTAAGATTCTTATTGTCTTTTCATGTTATAATAGCTCATTTCTTCTTTTTAAAATATTTTTGTAAAATATGGGAAGCATTTATAAATACCGTTAATTAATTAATTAATTAATTTTATTTAAAAAAATTTTAGTTGTCAATGGATCTTTTGTTTTATTTATTTATATGTGGTGCTGAGGATTGAACCCAGGGTTTCACACATGCCAGGCAAGTGCTCTGCCACTGAGCCACAACCCTAGCCCAGCTCATTTCATTGTAGTGCTCAATAATATTAAATTGGTTGGGGGTATAGATCAGAGCTAAAGTGCTTGCACAGCGTGCACAAAGCCGTAGGTTTGGGACCAGCCTAAATATGCACCTTTAGATGTTTTAACCCTCTGTGTAATGTAGTTTGGGGCTATCAATAAATGAATATACTTATGTTACACCTAGAGATTATTTCCCCCTATGTTCTGAACCACCTCCTATATAGCACCAAGGTAAACTTCTTTGCAGTCCCCCCTGGGGGTGGATATGATTGGGAACAAGTTTACTTCTGATTTAGCCTAGTCTAAGAGTGTGATCCCATGAGTCTTGATGTCTACTTCCTACCTTAATGAGATCCATCAAAGCTACAGAACATTTGCCTAGATTTGCAAATGCCTACCAGATAAAAGTGGCTTCACTTCTCTGTTTACTTATGAGGGACCTCACTTTTCCTTAGTTTTTCTTTGCTTGGTAATTCCTTTACTATCTTGTCAGGTTTTTGTGTATTTCTGAAAAATAATCTTAAATATGTTATCCAACATTTTTGGTTGTTTTTAAAAGGAGGGTTGGTCTGACATGGCCAACTCACTCTATTTCCAGAAGCAGAATTCATTGTTTCTTTAGTATTTTTAAGAGAGCAGTTCCTATCTTTTCATTGTGAGTATTCCTTAGACATTTTAAATGTTTTAATGATACTTGTAAAATATGATAAGGACTTCCTTATTGGTTTTATAAAATAGATCCAATGTTTCTTTATTTCAGGCCAAAGAGGCAGTGATGGAAGCTGAAAGATGGGATCCTACAAATGTTTTCACTCAATTTTATATGTTCAAGATTGCAGTCTTGGAAAGCAACTCTGACAGAGGTATAAATATTATTTATGAGTTATGTTTAATAATGCAAAGAATTGAAAATCCTCAAAGAATAAATAATCTATAACAGAAAACCACATTATTTTTGAAATAATGGAATTAAATATATGTTCTGCTTTCCTATGAAAAATAATACAATAATGCAAAAAGAAACCATGGAAGGTCATGCAGAAGTTAAAGAACACTGAATATCTATGGAGGGAATCTGAAGTGGGCAGATGTGGGACAAGAATTGGGGAAAAGTCTTGTCACTGTATGTTTTTTGTGCTTTCTGTCATTTGAACTAACCTATTCCAAAAGCTTTAAAAGCTGTGGGGGAAGAAAATTAGAGTAAAAACCTGTATCATATCAGCCAAGAATTGTCCTCAGAGAAGGAAGGTTTTCAGGGCACATTTTGACTCTTTTCACTTATGTTTTGATTAGTGCATTATAATTATACATAATATTGGGGTTCATTTTGACATAATCATACATACGTGGAATATAATTTGTTCCACTTCAGTTTCCAATACTTCCCCTTTCTCCTCCCTCCCCCATTCTCCATCCCCAACTTTGCTGATCTTCCTTCTATTCATAGTTTTTTTATTAGTGTATTATAGATGTACATGAAGGTAAAAATTCACTGTTGTATATTTATATTTGTACACAAGATAGTTTGGTCAGTTTCACACCACCATTCTGTCATTTTCCTGTCCCTTCTCCCTCCCTCTCAATTCCGTTCCCCTCCTCCATTGATCTCTCTTCTATTTATGGGACACCCCCCCCCGTTTTCCATCTAGAAGCAAGATAATTTTTGATATGTAAGGATTTAATACTACAATTTCTTTAATTCCTTTTTGTTTTTTTCCTATCTTCCTAGCTTCCCTTGGGATTAGGTTATATTCTGTGGCAGTATTCTCTCATTACTTTTTATTCTTTGTTTATTAATTATAGAGTTTGTCTTTGTGGCTGTCATGAGGCTTATTTTAAGCTGATAATGAGTTGCATTAACTGATTGTGTTTTTAAAAATTGATATACCTTTTCTACCTGTTCTGCTCATACATTTTTTTTATTTTGAACATCATAACTTTTATCTTTTTGTACTGCGTATCCTCTAAAATATTGTATCTATTATTACTTAAATGAATTTCTTTTTAACCTTCATATTAAAGATACAAGTGAGATGCATACCTAAGAGTATTCTTTTTTAATATTTATTTTTTAGTTGTAGTTGGACACATTACCTTTATTTTATTTATTTTTATGTGGTGCTGAGGATCGAACCCAGGGCCTTGCACATGCTAGACGAGTACTCTACCACTGAGCTACAACCCCAGCCCCACCCTAAGAGTATTCTGAGTTTGATTTCGTACTTACTTTTGCTAGTAAGTTTTTTCCTTTGATATGATTTTGTGTTACTAATCAGTACTTTTTTCCTTCAGCTTAAAAAATTCCCTTCAGTATTTCTAGTAAGACAGGTCTGGTGTTGATGAACTCCTTTAGCTTTTGTTTGTCTAGGCAAGTTTTTATATTCCCTTCATTTCTCAAGGGGAGCCGTGTTAGAAAAAGTATTCCTGTTTGGTAGCCTTTTTTTTTTTTAATCTGTACTTTATTTATTTATTTATTTATTTTTTGTATATGGACATATACCTTTATTTAATTTATTTTTTTATGTGGTGCTGAGGATAGAACCAATGCCTCACATGTGCTAGGCAAGTGCTCTACCAGTGAGCTACAACCCCAGCCCTACATCTGTACTTTTGATCTCACTCTTTCCTTACCTGTAAGGTTTCTTCTGAGAAGATACCGATAGCCTTATTGGCACTCCCTTATATATTATGTGCTTCTTTTCTGTTGCTGCTTTCAGGATCCTCTCTGAAATTTGATTTTTGACTGTTTATGTCTTGTTGTAGTCTTAACACATTTTGCCACATAACTATCACCTAATCATCACACCCTGTATAACTTTTCATCGTGTAATCATCATATGATATAATTCTGTTTGTCAGGCCACATAAATGGTAAACAGAGCAGCAATGTACTCACCATTAGCATAGGGATAAGCATTTGTGTTTTCGTGCACTATAAGTTATAAGTCTAGTATTCTCAGAGCACATGCATTGTCAGTATATTTCCATAAGCCAAGTTGCATGGTTGGTTTAGAGTACTGCGTAACTAATGGTTAACACATCTTATATGAGTGGTGCTGAGGACGGAGTGTCAGATGATGAAGCCAATGATAGGGCACAGAATCTTCAGACACAGTAGATTAAATTTTGTAAGTCTGTATTTCTCAACACTATAATAAATTTACTCAAGTGTAATATTTTGACTATAGTGTACAAATCGATAACAACTAATGTGTTAACTTTTTTTTCAGACCACAAAATAATGTTCACTAAACTGTCACAAAGAAATGTACATCAATTTCGACTATTCAGTTTTGACATATATTTCATGGAGTATATATTCTAATCTTGCACCAAAGGCAATTTAATAATAGATGATTTTTAAGTAACACTGACATTTTAAAAAAGATTCACATGATGGTCACACTTTACTTTTTCATGAAATTAAAAACATTTAATAGTGCATTATAATTATACACAATAGTGGGATTCTTTGTTACATATTTGTACATGCACACAATATAACAATATAATTTGGTCAATTTGCAGAACAAAAATTTTTAAAAGCTCTAATATCTCTCATTTAAAGAACCAACAAGAAATTTGAAAATCTATCACCAAACATAAAAATAAAAAGTGTTGCCTTTTCTTTTCTTTCCCTTACATACCCACAATTTCAGTTACATTTTATGTCATCTCCTGCTAACCCCTGTTCTCTATTTCTGGGTATGAAGGCAGAAAATAACAAAGATAAACACCATAAAGGGAATGAGGGGATCTGAAATGAAGAAAATTTTATGCTCTAAATTTTAACTTAAGTTCTTAGTGCCTCACATGCTACTAAGCCTAGTTTTTTGTTTGTTGGTTTGTTTTTGTACAGAGATTGAACCCAGGGATGCCTAACCACTGAGCTACATCCTAAGTCCTTTTTTATATTTTATTTAGAGTCTCACTGAATTACCTAGGGCTTCGCTAAATTGCTAAGGCTGGCTTTGAATTCGTAATCCTCCTGCTTCAGCCTCCAAGCCACTGCCTCCAGCCCTGTTTTTTTTTTAATTTTTAAAAAATACTTTTTGTTTTATTTATTTTTATGTGGTACTGAGGATTGAACCCAGTGCTAGGCTAGCACTCTACCATTGAGTCACAACCCCAGCCCCTTGCTCCAGTCCTTTTTATTTTTTATATTTTGAGACAGGGTCTCACTAAGTTGTTTAGAGCCTCACTAAGCTGCTGAAGCTGGCCTCTAACTTGAAATTCTTCTGCCTAATCCTCCCAAGTTGCTGGGATTACAGTTGTGTATACCTACTCCTGGCTAGATCTCTTACCTTTTCTACCTGGATATTTATATAATTACCAAGATTTATTGAGTTTTCTGGGACTATTTCCTTTAAATAAGTTTTCTAACTCTTTTATCACTTTAACATCTACTGCTATATGTGAATACTTGTTCTTTTGATGATGTCCCATAAGTCCCACAAGCTTTTTTTATTCCTTTCCATTCCTTTTTCTTTCTCCTCTGACTACCTGTTATTAAATAACCTGTCTTTTAAGTTTATATAATCTTTCTTCTACTTGCCCATTTTATGCTCTTTATTGCATTTTTCAGCTCTCAGGTTTTTTTTAACACCAGTGACACTCTTCACAGAACTAGAAAAAAACAATCTAGCCAGATAGAGTGGCACATGCCTGTAATCCCAGTAGCTTGGGAGGCTGAGATAGGAGGATTGCAAGTTCAAAGCCAGCCTCAGCAATTTAGTAGGGCCCTAAACAACTTAGCAAGACCTGGTCTCAAAATATATATATATTTTTTAAAAGGGCTGGGATGTAGCTCAGTATAAAATACCCCAGGTTCAATCCCCAGAACCAAAAGAAAAAAAAACAGTTCTAAAGTTCATGTGGAAGAATAAGAGACTCAGAATATTTCTTATTTGCATCCTCCATTTTTCCCAATTTTGATTTTTTATTTCTCTATTATCTTGAAGTTTACTAAACTTCCTTTAAAACCATTATTTTGAATTATTTGTTAGGCAGTCAACAAATATCCATCTTTTTGAAATGTGGTCTTATTATTTTACCAAGACTGGTCTCCAACTCTTGGGTTTGAGTGATCCTCCTACTTTAGCCTCCTGAATTTTGGGACTACAGGTATGTGCCACCATTCATAGTACAAATCTCCATTTCTTAGGGCCATTTTCTGGTTATTTATTTTATTTTCTGGGTGACATAATGTTCCTATGATTGTTCTTGATATTTGTTTTTTTTTTTTTTTAATATTTTTATTTATTTATTTTTAGTTCTCGGTGGACACAACATCTTTGTTTGTATGTGGTGCCGAGGATCGAACCCGGGCCGCACGCATGCCAGGCGAGCTCGCTACCGCTTGAGCCACATCCCCAGCCCCTGTTCTTGATATTTGTGACTTGCATTTGTGTCTGCACATTTGAAGAAGTAGGGAATTATTATAGTATTTGCAGATTAACTTGTCTAGAAATGTCTTTCACCAGTCAGCCCATCCAGAGTTTGGGTCTTTGGAATCTGCACTAGGCATAGGTGCATGGGTGCTGGACTGATAGATTTTCAAATTTCCCTGAGGGTCAGATAGGGTCCAGGAGCTGAAAAGGTTGTTCTGTAATCTAACTATACAAGGACATTCCTGGAAATTTGGTCCCTGGGGTCTAGCCCAACTCTGAAATCTACTGGAATGGCCTTAGATTCCGAGTCTGCTAAAATATGGGGATGCAGGGGCCAACTTGAAAAGTAATACTACAAGTTCTGGTTTGGAGGGTTGGGCCACAGGACCAGCCTGGCACTTGGCAGGCCTGGAGCCTGATTCTTTAGACCAGAAGTATAAATCTAATGATAGGGCTGGTCTTATAGTGTGTGGGCCTAGAACCCTATATCCATGGGGGCCAGCCTAGAGTCTGGGTATCTGGGTACTGGCTTAATGACTGGGGCTGTGGGGCTATTCTACTGCTGGGCAGACCTGAAGCCTGGGGCAGTGAGGGCCAGCCTGGGGGTTATCCAGGGCCCAGGACCACAGGGGCCAGCCTGGTCCTAGGAGGGGACCTAGAAACTGAATCTATAGGACTGGCCTAAAGCCTGAGTTTGTGAGGACTGTGGTGGTACCAGGGCAGGCCCAAAGCCTGGGACCAAAAAGACTGGCCTTACACTGAGTCTATTCTGGACATCTAGGGGCTCCTGCCTATGGAACAGTCCTAAAGACCAAGTCCTTTGGGCAGATCTGGAACCTAGGAACATGGAATACAGCTTGGAATCTGGAGGTATGGGGCTCTCTCTGATGCTAAGTATTACTGGTGCCCCAGTGTTGGAGTCTGCACTCTCTTCTTTCTCTTTCCCTCAAGCAGAGGGTTTCTCTCTCTGTTGTTTGGCCTGGGGTTGGAGGAGGGGTGATAAGGGTAATTAAAAACTATTCTTTTATTCTCCTCAGTGCATCTTATTTTTATGCTTCACCCAGGTGGACTGATCTCTTATTTGGTTTCCTTAGCTCTTGTGAAGGTATATTCATACATACATAGTTGTTCAAATTCATGTATTTTGTGAGCAGTAAGTACTAACAATTCCTATGCCACCATCTCGCTGATATGTGGTGTACACAAATTCATTATCAGTTGTGTATTTTGCAATTTTTTTTCTTTTTTTCTTTCTGCATATTTTCTTTTATGAGAAGAAATTGGCAAGTTTGACAATGTCTAATTTATCTTTTTTCTTCTTCTATGGATTGTCCTTTTGATGCTGTAGCTAAGAAATCTTTGCTTAATCCAAGGTCACAAAAATATTTTCTATGTTTTCTTCAACATTTTGTTTTAGGGTTTTTATTTTTAGGGCTGTGATCCATTTTGAGTTAATATTTGTATTTGATTCCAGGTGTGGATTGAAGTTCATTTGTTTACACTTAGTTATTGAATTGTTCCAGCATAATTTTTTAAAGAAGCAATGTTTCCTTAATTGAATTGCCATTGTATGGATCTCTTTCTGAATTCTTTCTTTTGTTGTATAAAATAAAGACATCATTTATTAAATGACTTTACATCATTCCTACTCTGTCTTAGTTATTGTAGCTACGTAATAAATATAGAATTATGGAGTATTAGGCCTCCAACTTTGTTCTCTCTCAAATTGTTTTGACTGTTTCAAGTCTTTTGTATATCCATATAAGTTTTCCAATTTTTACACAAGTGAATTTTTTGGTACTGGGGATAGAACCCAGGGGTGCTTAATCACTGAGCAACATCCCCAGCCCTTTTTATTTTTTATTTTGTGACAAGGTCTAAGTTGCTTAGGGCTTCACTAAGTTGCTGAGGCTGGCCTCAAACTTATGATCCTCCTGCCTCAGCCTCCCTAGTCACTGGATTATAGGTCTGTACCACCTCACCCGGCACAAGTGAATTTTTATTGGGATTATGTTGAATTATAGATCAGACTTATTATTATTATTGCAATGCTGAGAATCAAACCCAGGGTTTCATGAATGCTAGCCAAATGCTCTACCACTGAGCCATACTTCCAGCTCAACATCTTAACATTATTGAGTCTTTCAACTCATGAACAAGTATTTGATTCCAGGTATGGATTGAAATTCATTTGTTTGCACTTAGTTATTGAATTGTTTAAACAATTGCCTCCATTTATTTAGGTCTTTCTTAATTTCTTGAAATAATTTTTTCTGCTTTTAAGTGTACAATCTTGGGCATCTTTTTGTCAGATTTATACCTAAGTATACCATGTTTTATACTATTTTAAATGACTTTTTTAAAAACTTCAATTTCTGACTACTTACTATTAATATATAGACATGCAAATGTTTTTTGTATTGACCTTGTATCTTACAACTTTTTTAAAAAAATATTTTTTTAGTTGTAGATGGGCACAATATCTTTATTTATTTTTATGTGGTACTGAGGATCCAACCCAGTGCCTCACACATACCAGGCAAGTGCTCTACCACTGAGCCACAACCCCAGCCTCATATCTTACAACTTTTATAGACTCGTTAGTTAGTTCCAATAGCTTTCTTGTGAATTCCATTAGATTTTTTACATAAACAATCATGTTTTCTATGAATAATGATAATAAATCATCTTCTAATTACCATTTTAATGACAATCTGCAAGTTTTATGTGTTTTTATTTTAATTCAGTAAAATATTTTCCATATTAACTTTTGATTCCTTTTTAAATCACATGGGATTATTTAGAAATATTTATTTTCCAAATATTTTCAGATTTTCTTGAGAGTGTTATTGATTTTCAATTTAATTCCATTATAGTAAAAGATCAAACCTTATATGACTTAAATTCTTTGAAATATATTGTGACTTGTTCTGTGGCCCAGCATATTGTCTTTCTTGGCAAGTTGGAAAAAATTGGCACCGGAAAAAAATTGGCACTGGTTGGTGTTTGGTTAAGTATTATAAAAAAACTGGCACTGGAAAAAATTGGCACTGGTTGGTGTTTGGTTAAGTATTATAAAAATGTCAGCCAGGTCAACTTGATTGCTGATTTTCTGTTTACTTGTTCTACCAATTATTGAGAGAAGGTATTGAAATCTTTGATTATAAATGTGGATTTGTTAATTTCTCCTTGCAGTTCCATAGATTTTGCTTCTTATATTCTGATATTTTGTTATTTGGTACATAAATATTTAACTTTAGGTGCTCATCATGAATGGTTTCTTTTATCATCTTGAAATAACCTTCTTTCACTGGTTATTTCTTTCTTGGATATCTACTTTTTCTCATATTAGATACTCCAACTTTCTTTTGATTGTCTTTACTATAGCATGAATTATCCCATCTTGTTTGTCTTCTTATTGGTACTAGGGATTGAACCCAGTATAATTACAACTTTTTATTTTTAGATAGGGTCTTGCTAAAATTAATGAGGCTGACCTCAAACTTGTGGTCCTCCTTCCCCAGCTGCCCAAGTCACTGGGATTACAAGTGTGCACCACTGCACTGCTGCCTGTGCTTTCCTTTCAGCAAATGTTGTCTTTATGTTTCTTGTAGGTAGCATATATTTAAGAGTTTTATTTTAATCTGATCTGACCATCTCCATCTTTCAATTGGGTTACAAAATCATTTATATGTAACACGATTGTCAATATAATTAGATTAAAATTTAGCATCCAGTTCTCTCCTATTTGTTTTATCTGTTGTTATTTGACATTTTCCTTTTTTCTGACTTCTTTTGGATTAGTGAAATTTTTATGAATATTTATTTATTTAACAGTAGAATTCATTTTGACATATTGTACACAAATGGAACACAACTTCTCATTCCTCTGGCTGAACAGTAATTACATTTATCTCCTTTTTGGCCTATTAGCTATGATACTTGGTTGTGTTTTTTTGGTACTAGGGATTGAACCCAGGGGCACTATATCACTAAGAAACATCCCCAAGCCATTTTAATTTTTTATTTTGAGACAGGGTCTCACTAAGTGGCCCAGGGCATCACTAAATTGCTGAGGCTGGCCTCAAACTTGTGATCCTCCTGTCTCGGCCTTCCAAGTCACTGGGATTACTGATGTGCACCACCATTCCTGGTTCTTTGTTTTTCCACTTGTTACTTAAGGTCTATAGTGCACATATTTAACTTGCATTGGTTTACTTTTAAGACATAATAAAATATAATACATCCATTCAAATTTTAACTTTTTTCTGTATATTTCATTTTATGTATATACTGAAATGTATTTAGGCTCTCCATTATTAATGAAATTTAGGTTCATATTTTACTCTAGTTTTTTTGAATAGTGGTTATTGAACCCAGAGAAACAATGCACCACTATACCCTAGCCCCATATTTTACTCTTACAAGCATTACTTGATGAGAATCCTTGGATGTGTATGGTTTTTTTTTTTTTAATATTTATTTTGTAGTTTTAGGTGGACACAATATCTTTATTTCTACACTTATGTGGTGCTGAGGATCGAACCCAGTGCCTTGTGCATGCTAGGCGAGCACTCTACCACTGAGCCACAACCCCAACCCCTGGATGTGTATGTTTACTCTTGCAAATACATTCATAGGATAAATTCACAGAAGCACAGTTGTTCAGTTGAGCATTTTTTATGATATTCAAATCTTCCTTGACAGTTAACCAACTCATATGATTTTGTGAATCTTAATTAATATTCTAAAGATATTAATGCTCTAAAATAAGTTCCAAATTTGTTGTGATACAATTAACTCTACATGAGTATTAACTTTGATAAGAATATCTCAATTTTATTGTTTCCTTGTTTTTCAGCTCTTCAGGCAATCACTACTTTAGAGAGTTTATTAACAGCTGAAAAGCCAGAAGATAATGATCTACTTGAAGATAGAGGTTCACATACTATGCTCCTAAATTTAGCTGCCCAGTTTGCTCTAGAGGTAATTCATATGTTTCTGTCTCCTAGACTTCTACCCCTTTTCCTTTTTGAAAGACATTTAATAGAATTCATCAGTTAGTTACAGAGTCTCTACTGTTTGTTTTGCCTCACATTTTCTAAACCAAGCTTGGAATTGCTTTATTTCTCTTTCTTTGTAATGCAGGCTAAGATAAACGAAACATAATGAAATAATAGATTTCTGCTTAAATAACAGAAAAAAAGTAAGCATAGCAAAACACTAATTTCTAAAAGAAATCCCAGGTTTAAAATGCTATATTATGCAAGTAAATAGGTATCTTAATTGGAAATATTTTTTAATCAGATTGAACAAAATGCTTTAAATTTTTGTGAATGCTTTTAGTTTATAACCATAAAAAATTACTCTAGATATAATAAATACTTGCAACCCTGTTTTTTACTTGCATAATTCTTTAGGAAAAGAATCCTAGCAGCTCTGGTACTCTTAGATTGAGTTTGAGTATTGGCTCTGTGGCTTAATAAGTGCCTAATTTCTTTGAGTTTTCATTTGTCATTTGCACAATAAAAATAATACCCTTCTCTAGGACTGTTATGAAAACTGATAAGTTGGCTGAAAATTGGTATGTAAACTGTGAAGCTTGATCTTCTTATTTATTTAAACTACTTTAGTTTCTGATTCTTTCTTTATGAAAACTATCTTTCTGCTCAGAGCTACTATTTCATAATTCTTCTATTAGCTCTGTTCTGCTTTTTATATCTATTGTAAATGTATAAACCTTCCTTTAAAAATGTAGTTGCCTTTGGGTTTCACACTACAGAATTTCTCTCATTTCCTCCTTTTCCCCATCCTGAACAAACACATCCTATGTCTGCATTTGCCAATTTTTTTCTTTCTCAGGAGTTCAGTTACCCTACTCATTAATATCAAAACACATCTCATCCAAACCCTATTTAACAACTACTTTGGACAAGATATTGGTCTATGTGCTAGAATTATGGTCACCAAGGAATTCTCAAGTCAATTTGTACAAGCTATCCATTAGCAATGTAAGATCAATGTAAGAACTATCCATATGTAGGATAAAGACCAACTAACTACTATACAGGTTAAAAATTACTGGAGTTCAGAGTAGAAAGAGAGCACTGAAAACTGGAATGTTTCTACAGTGAAGGGAAACCTTAGGTTAGACTTTTTAGGTTTACAACATTTTTCTTTTGCAGTGCTGAGATCAAACCTAAGTCCTCATGCAGACTAGGCAAGTGCTTTACCACTGAGCCATACCTTCAGCCTCATGTAAGAAAAAGGTTTTTCTAAGGGTGTAATGATGTAAACAAGACATGGAAAAAGGAATGTAATTGGCTTTAGATACACTATACTTGGTTAGAATAATAGCTGATTTCTCTAGCATTCCAGATCTTGTGCCTAATAGAATAGTGGCTTATATCATTATGATAATGATATAGAGAAGCTTAGAGTAAAGGATAAGAAATGGCTTTGGGCAGATTGTATAATGCTTTTATTTTCTAAACAATAAGATGGTTGATGGTAATTTATGTAAAGGTAGTGCTTTGAGAAAATAATTTTGCTTATGCCTAGGACTGAGTAGAGAGAAATTAGAGATGGGCAGGATAGGAGACCATGGTAATAATCCAGTCTTAAGGTGATAAGAATCTAGGTAAGGGTAGTAGAAGTATGATTCTAAGCAGGTAAAACATTACTTTCTCTTCTATCAATCATTCTCTTTACGAAATTCACCTCTCTTCACACAAGAGATAATGTGTGTATTCTAGGTTCTGAAAACTCAGGCAGCCAAGAAGAGAACTTGCACAGATTCCTACCACCATCTCTGCTCACACACCAGATATTCTGCCTTCTCCACTGCCATCATGGATGAACTATCCATGTTCCTTCCTATAGCTAACCTTTCAACTTAAACACTTGTTTCCATCGCTTCTTGCCTTTTTTCTCTCTTACATTGTCAACTTTTTGTTTTCTTATTGGTTCATTCCCATCAGCATATAACATATAAAATTATCCCATCTCAAACAAACAAAAGCCAAAAGATTCTCTTGGCCTTCCTTCTCTTATCAACTACTGTCCAATTTCTTTTCTTCTCTTTGTAAAAAACTTCCCTGAGATGGAACCTACACTTGTTCTTCCAATGATCTCCTAAGCCTTGTTCAGTCAGGCTTTTGTCACTGAAAAAAGTACTTTTATCTACTAAGAGTGCTTTTGTCAAGTCATCAATGACTTCTGTATTGTAAATCGTGATGGTTAAATATTAGTCCTTATTGTATTTTACCAATCTGAAGTGGCCAGCACAGTTGATCATTCTTTCCTCTTTGAAACATAGTTGGCTTCCATGATTACCATTATCCTTGTTTTTCTCCTACCTCATGAGTCACTCTTTCATTCTTCTTTGCTGATTCCTTTTCTCCTCTCCTAGTCTCAAGTGATGACCTTAGGAGTGTTTGTGGTTCAAGAAAAGATGATAAGGTATAAGCTAATCATCTAGGAAAGCAGGAAAGTGCTAGGGAAGCGTGATATACTTGGCTCTTTTGTGTGTGCGTGGAACTGAGAATTGAACTGGGAGGCACTCTACCACTGAACTACATCCCCAACCACCACAAAAGGTATTTTAAAGTAATACAAGTATATGCATTATTTTTTTCTAGGCCACATTCTGCTGAATGGATGCAAGCACAAAAGTCAGTATAGCTGGATGTGGTAGCACATGCTAATCCTAGACTCAGGAGGCTGAGGCAGGAGGATCACAAGTATGAGGCTAGCCCGGGTAACTTAGTGAGTCCCTGTCTCCAAATATATGAAGAACTAGAGATGTAGCTCAATGGTAGAGCACCCCTGGGTTCAATCTCTAGTACCCCTCCAGACAAAATCAATAGAATATTGGACTGAGGGTTTTGCCAGATAAATACAGTGAATGAAAAGAAGAGCAAGAAAATCTAGGATGAAGGGAGTGATTATAATTCAGTTTTATGGAACTTAAACTTGGTATGGAGGAAGACTTTAAGAGGATGAGGGATGGTAAAAGTTGGTAACATCAATGAGTTGGAGGTCTTACTGCAAGTAAGGATTGAGAAGTCAGCATAATAAAATAAGTGAGTTGGAAATGTTAAGAGATAATGATTAGAAAGTGGAATATACCTGATGCTGAAAGCTGGAGTGAAAGACTAGGGCGAGGGAGTGAGGTACTTAGGGCATGAAACATAAGAGGGCACTCTCAGGGTGAGCAAGTCTGGGCTTGGTACTTGTATCATACCGAAAGTGAGTGCCTCCTTATACTTTGTACCCTAGGTGCCTCACTTGCCTCATCTGACTCACCCTAGTCCCAGCCCTAAGAGTATGAAAGGGCTGCAATTATTAGTAATGACAGGGTCTAGGGAATGGCTGTAGGAGTGAATGACTGAGGTAATTGGCAGAGTGGAATGGAGGGAGCTAAGAGACTAAGGATATTAGGAGGATTGCCTGTCCATGTATTGAAGTTGCCAAAAAATAAGACAGGAGTAGTTTGTGTAGAAAATAACTCTGCAATAGTTAAGCCATCAAGAAATGAGAAGAAATAGCTTAGGAGCTGATGGACCACAGTAACAATGAGAGATAGTGGGTACTATAGTCTGGTGACAAGAAATTCAAAGTCAGGGTTTTAGGAAAGAAAAAAAATTATTTCAAAATAATAACAAAAAGTGAGAAGGATACCTACTCCATCTCCAGGCCTAGGGGTAGAAGGACAATGAGAGCAAAATCAGGCACCATTTGATAGGGTTCCAGTAGAAGCAGCCTCTTTGGTAGAAACCTAGATTTCTATTATAGCAATAATGTGGAGGGGACTTTCAGAAAAGAGTTTGCTTTTATAAGAGATTTTGCTGGTAATAGACTAAATTTCTGAGAGCATATTAGAAGGTGTGGGGTGTTGGGGGGAGATGAGAAAAAGAAGAGAGAATATATACAGCCTTTCAGGGATTAGCATGCTGAAAATGAAGGTGCTCTGACAGTCTGGGTTACTCCTAATAAAAAGAGATAAACAGCACGAAGAGTAGTTTAAGTGGATTCAAGGTAGTATTAGCAAGGCTGTGTTTGTGGTAGACAGTTGTGATTTTCTGGGGCTAATATGAAACCATTGTTTTTGTCAGTGAGTTATATTTTCATTTGACCTTCTTGCCGTAGCTCTTTTGAGAACACAAAATGAACAGGTTCAGATGTGATTTCCCTTGCCCTTAATGGGCAATAATGCAGATAACTTGATTGTATTTTTAAAAATGTATTAGTGCATTATATTCATATAAAATATTGGGGTTCATTTTTACCTACTTATACAAGCATGAATTAATTTGCTCCAATTCAGTTCCTAGTACTTCCCATTTTTCTTCCCTCCTTCCTCACCCGTTTCCTTTCTTCTATTCTACCACTCTTTCTTCTATTCATTTAGAGTTTTTTTTTAATCAATTAGTGTATTATAGATAATACACAAAGGTGAAATTCACTATGGTATATTCATATATGTACACAGGATAGTTGGGTCAGTTTCATACCCACCATTCTTCCTTTTTCCTGTCCCTCCTTCCTCTCTCTCAGTCCCCATCCTCTACTCTACTGATCTCTCTTCTATTTTCATGGGAAGCCCCCCCACACACACACACCAACTTTTTTCCCTTATCTTGGTTTGACTTCTGAATATGAGAGAAAACATTTGACCCTTGACTTTCTGGGTCTGGCTTATTTCACTTAACATGATGTCCTCCTCTTCCATTCATTTACCAGTAAATGCCTTAATTTCATTCTTATTTATGGCTGAGGTTAAAACTCTATTGCATATATATCCCATATTTTCTTAATCCATTTATCTGTTAATGAACATCTGGGCTAATTCCATAACTTGGCTATTGTGAATTGTGCTACTATAAATATTGGTGATCTTAGATCTGATTTTAGATTTTTTGGCTGATTTTAGATCTTTTGGCTATATACCATGGAGTGGGATAGCTGGGTCATATGGTGGTTCCATTCCTCATTTTTTTTGAGGGGTCTCCACCCTGCTTTCCAGAGCAGTTTTACTAATTTGTGGTTCCATCAATGCTGTATATCTTTCCCCCATATGCTTGCCAGTATTTGTTATCGTTTGTATTTTTGATAATTGCCATTCTGTTTAGAATTGAGATGAAATCTCAATGTAGTTTTGACTTACATTTCCCTGATTGCTACAGATGTTGAAATTTTTTTCACATATCTGTTGGCCATTTGTATTTCTTCTTTTGAGAAGTATCTGTTTATTTCTTTTACCCATTTATTAATTGAGTTATTTATTTATTTACTTACTTATTTTTGGTGTTCAGTCTTTTGAATTCTTTATATATTCTGGATTAATCCTCTGTCTGAGGAGCAGGTGGCAAAAATCTTTTCCCATTCTATAGGCTTCCTCTTCCTGCTCTTAATTATTTACTTTGCTGGCAGAAGCATTTAATTTGATGCTGTCCCACTTATTGATTCTCAGTTATATTTCTTGCTCTTTAGAAGACTTGTTAAGGAAGTCCATGCCTGTGCCAATATGGTGAAGTGTTGTGCCTACATTTTCTTCTAGAAGTTGTAGATTTACTGCTCTAATTCTTAGGTCTTTGATTTCACTTTGAGTTGACTTTTGTGCAGGGTGAAAGATAGGAATATATTTTCATTCTTCTACATATGGATATCCAGTTTTCCCAGCACCATTGGTTAAAAAGGCTCTTTTCTCCAATATATATTTTTTGGCACCTTTGTTGAGTATCAGATGACTCTATATGGATTTGTCTCTGTGTCTTTTATTCTGCTCCATTGGCCTTCATGTCTGCTTTGGTGCCACTACCAGGCAATTTTTGTTACTAAAGCTCTGTAATATAATTTTAAATTAGGTATTGTGATATCTCTGGCATTGCTTTCTTTGTTTAGAATTGCTTTGGCTATTCTGGGTCTCTTATTCCTTCAAATGAATTTTAGAACTGTTTTTTTTTTTTCTAGTTCTGAGAAGAATGTCATTGGTATAACACTCTTGGTAACATAACCACTTTGACAATACTAATTTTGCCTATCCAAGAGCATGGGAGGTTTTTTCCATCTTCTAAAATCTTCAGTTTCTTTCCTCATTGTTCTACAGTTTTCATTGTAGAGGTCTTTTTCCTCCTCGGTTAGATTTATTCCAAAGTGGCTTTTTTTGGTGTGTTATTGTGAATGGCATGGTTTTCCTAATTTAAAAAAAAATTTAAATTAATTAATTAATTTTTTATTTATATATGACAGCAGAATGCATTACAATTCTTATTACACATACAGAGCACAATTTTTCATATCTCTGATTATATACAATGTATATTCACACCAATTCATGTCTTCATACATGCACTTTGGATAATAATGTCCATCACATTCCACCATCATTTCTAACTCCATGCCCCTTCCCATCCCCTGCCACCCCTCTGCCCTAACTAGAATTCGTTTCTTCCTTCCATGCTCCCTCTCCCTATCCCACTGTGAATCAGCCTCCTTATATCAAAGAAAACATTCAGCATAGTATAGAAAAGCTATTAATTTGTGTATGTTGATCTGTTATATATTGATTAATTTGTTTATCAATTCCAGAAGTCATCTGGTAGAGTTTTTGAGATCTTCTAAATATCGGATCATGTCATCAACAAACAGAGATCATTTGAGCTCTTCTTTTCCTATTTGTATCTCTTTTATTTTTTTCTCTTACCTGATTTCTCCGGCTAGAGTTTTTCAAGAGCTATATTGAGTAGAAGAGGTGAGAGTAGACATCCTTGTTCCTCTTCTTAGAGGACATGCTTTCAGTTTTTCTCTGTTGCTTTGATTTGTAATTTAACAAATTATGTCTGTTCTTTTTAGAATGGACAAGCCATTCCAGCAGGAAAAGCCCTGGAATATTTAGCTCAACATTCAGAAGACCCACAACAAGTTCTTACAGCTTTGAAGTAAGTAATCCATTCTATGGAGGGGAAAAGATTTCTTTTGCTCCTTTTGCCCTTGATCTATAATCTGACAAAGTAGTGCTGATGAACTCAGTGCCAACTCTTATATCTATTAACCCTGGTACTCAAAGTAAAAAAAAAAAAAAAAAATACAACTGAACTTGATCTTCCTTCTTCTCTTTTTCTAGGAAGGAAAATGGTTTGTCAAAAGGGAGTTTTTACATACAATAGTGAGGGGAAAAAAAGAGCGGGTTGGGACATGATAACTACTAATGTGACTGAGAAAATGCCAGTGTGAAAAATGGGAAACCAGAAGGATCCTAGAATGGTTTTTCTTTTTTTTTTTTTAATTGGTTGTTCAAAACATTACAAAGCTCTTGACATATCATATTTCATACATTAGATTCAAGTGGGTTATGAACTCCCATTTTTACCCCAAATACAGATTGCAGAATCACATCTGTTACACATCCACATTTTTACATAATGCCMTATTAGTAACTGTTGTATTCCAGCACTGCATATAAATAAATGAATAAAGGTTCGTCAACATCTAGAATGGTTTTTCTGTTGGCCAACTTCAGGCCACACTTCCAAAGGGAAAAGTAGTCACAGAAATAAAAGGGGAGTTGAGATACTTGCATGCCCTCAGGTAAATATCTAAAATCATTCAGGACAGTGGTATTGCTTAGAGCGTTTTCAGGTTTGAAACAAACAACTGTTTTGTCAGTTTGTCATTGTGCTTCCAGTTCCCTTAAAAGAATAGTGAACATTTTTTATGTAGAACCTGAAGATCAGTTTTAGGTTCCTTTATAAGATGAAAAATATAAAGCCATGTACACCATACGTGCTGTTCTAGCAGATGTTGTTGAACAGTGATACAAACCTTGGAACCATTTAGTAACTTCTGATAAGCAAAATTTTTTATTTTAAAATTATCTTATTAAATTCCACTTTCAAAATTACAAAATTGTTATATTTTCATTGCAACCATTAAAACAAATCAAAGATCTTTAAATACAATAAGCTTAATTTCCCCCTTCTCAATTCTGCCTCCTGGGGTAATCAGAGTTAATGACTTGGTATATATTCTTTAACATGTTTCCTAAGAATCCCTTTCTCTATTACTTTTTATGCAGATGTCTGTTTCGTCTTGTTCTTCCACAAGTTAATCAAACTCCGGGTTCTGAAAATAAGTAAGTTATTTCAATAGAAACGATGGATTCCATTAGAAATATTATAATAATTTTAAATACAAAACTTACATTGAGTGATACGTAATGTAGTAGATAAGATTAATACAGGGCTAGTCTTCCTGGTTTCATATCCTGGCTCTGCTATTTATTAAATGTGGACCTTGGGAAAATTTCTTAACTTTTCTTTCTCCATCTATAAAATGGAAATAAAATAGAATATACCTCACAGGGCTGCTGTGGTTACTCAATAGTGAATTAACACATTTAAAAGGCAAAAGATTTATGTAATCTGAAGAGAAGCCAGGGTATAAGTTAACATGTAAAACAGTGCCAGGCACTTAATAAACCTTTAGTAATGTTATATATGATCTGATTATGATATTGCATGTTTCCCCTTTTCTTAATAGTAGACTCAAATATAGACATTTCTTTTACTTTCCTGCAGAACAAATAACCTGAATAGCTTGTTGATTCTGATTCTCTATCAGGTCAGCCAACAAGCATTCAAATATGTTTCTACTCACAATTTCTATGGTATAAGACACCAAACTTAACAATTCATGGAAGAATTTGGGCACCAGTCTTTTTGTGCTTAAAGTTCATTATCTCCTGATGATTTGAAAGAAAATTCTATTCATGATTTGAATTAGGGATAACTTCCAGATAAATTATCACCCATCTCTGAATTATTTGCTCAGACAAGAGCTTTGTAATAATGAGTCTCTGCCATATTTTTTTTTTATATTTGCAACTGGTGTCAGTATATTTTTTGAATTAATTTTTGGGAAATATAACTGAGATGGCATTGGATGTATAACTTGTTTTATCATATTACAGATTTTACCCAAGCACATATGATAAGTTTTGCCATTTCTTCACAGGCTGTATGAATCAATTAGAAAGGTATTACATCTTAAAAACAAAGATGATAGAGGAAAGAGACTAGGAGGTAGGAGATGGGGAGAGGGGGGAAGTGCTTGGAGTGATATTAGCCAAATTATATTGTTATATTGTGTGCATGTACAAATATGTAACAACAAATCCCATCATTATTTACAATTATAATGCACCACTAAAAATGGAGAAAAGAGAAAAAAAATGAAGGTGAGGCATTTGGAAATTTTCATAATGACCAAATGTTTGGTATTAAGAAATTATTAACTTTTAGGCATGTAATGATTATGCATGTTTATATTTTTTAAAAAATCCCTTATTTCTTAGAGATGCATCCTTTAAATATATATAGATGAAATTATGTGATGTCTAAAATTTGCTTCAAAATAACATAGGAAGAAAAATAGATGGCGATAACAATGAGATAAGATGGATGGTGTGTTAGTAATTAGTAAAGCTAAGTGATAAGTACATGGAAATTTATTATACTTGTCTTTGCACATTTGAACATGTTTGAAATTTTCAGCAATAAAATTGTTGGGATTTTTGTGGTGGTTGATTTGAAAGAAGGAAACTTTAAAAGAAGGCGATCACACTTTGAAACTATTAGATTGTAAGAGCTCCTTGAAGGATAAAACTATTTGTATTTGTCCTTGCATCTCTGGAACCTAGGATACCATCTGACACATAATTGCCACTCAATATTTAAATTGACTGAAAGTCAATTCTTAAGAACACCTTAATCTCATTCCATGCAATTGTGACATGCAGTCAAACCTCAATCATTGGTATTATTTAGGTAAAGGGTAAGGGAAGGGATCTTGTTTGAATTAATTATAAATAATAGAATATTTAAATATATAAATAATAAAATATTTAAAAATAGAACATTTAAAAATTTATTATTTTCAAGTAGAGGTAGTAATAGAGAACATCTTCTAGCAGTTTCAGGTAGAAGTTAGCATTTGATATAACAACAATTACACTAGCCTGTAAATTTTTTTTTCAAAGCACCTAATTCAATGAGAAAGTTAGGAGAATTGAATTTTAGTTTCAGTTCTTTTAGTGACTTCTGTTTACCTGAAGCAATGGCAACTTATTTATCTTCTCTAAGCTATATTTTCTTTATCTGCAAAATTTAAAAAGCTGAACTGGATAATTTAAAAAGTTATTTTCTCTTCTAAAATTCTTGTAAGTTTAAATTAGCAACATCTACCTAAGTACTAACAATTTATGTGCTAAACTACTTAAAAGATGTTTGTCTTATAAATACACATACCTTTCCATGTCCATGTCTTTATTCTTATTTGTATTATTTATTTGCTTTAATGGACCCTTCCTAGATTATTTTATATTTAGTCCCTGAATTAAATAGTAAAGAAGTCAACTTTAGCTCAGCTGAAATTCAAATTAATAAAATTTATTTGAGAAGTTGCTCTATATAAACTTGTAAGACTTTTAAGATTTATCAGTGAGAAAGCTGCTACTTTTCCTGAAGCACAATGTTTATTGAGTAATATTAAACCCCTTCCTGATAAGAATGGTCTTATCAGGTATGCTATACCATATATTCTGTAAACTTCTTTAGATAATTTTGCCAATACTTCCATATTCTTTTTTTTTAGCTAAATGGGCTTTTATTCTGTTAAATTTTCATTTTATTTAATTTTTTAAATGTTAAGACTTTTTAGCCAGGCATAGTGGTACAACCTATAATCATTCTTTTTTTTCATATCCTTTTTTTTATTATTAGTTGTTCAAAACATTACAAAGCTCTTGACATATCATATTTCATACATTTGATTCAAGTGGATTATGAACTCCCATTTTTACCCCATATACAGATTGCAGAATCACATCGGTACAACCTATAATCAGAGTGATTCAGGAAGCCAAGGCAGGAGGAGCACAAGTTTAAGGCCAGTCTCAGTAAACTAGTGAGGCCTTCAGCAACTTAGTGAGACCCTGTCTCAAGATAAAAAGTAAAACGGACTGGGAGGGTTGAGGTTGTGGCTCAGTGGTAAAGCGCTCGCCTAGCATGTGTAAGGCCCTGGGTTTGATCCTCAGCACCACATACAAATAAATAATACAAATAAATAAAATAAAGGTATTATGTCCACCTACAATATATATATATATATATATATATATATATATATTTTTTTTTTTTTTAAAAGGACTGGGAATGTAGCTCAGTGGTAAAGCCTCCCTGGCTAAAATCCCCAGTACCCCCCTGCAACATGCACCAAAAAGTTAAGACTTTTCAAAGAGCAGTTTCAGGTTCACAGCAAAATTGAGAGGAAAGTGCAGAAATTCCCATGTACCCCCACCCGCCTCCATGCCTAACCTCCCCCATTATTAACATTCTCCACCAGAGAAATATAGTCATTACTAACTCACAAACATGAGCTGACACATCACAATCACCTAAAGTATATAGTTCACATTAGAATTCACAGCCTATATTCTGTGGTTTTTGACAAATGTATTATGACATGTTTTCATCATTACAGTATCATACAGAGCATTTTCACTTTCCTAAAAATCCTCTGTGCTCTATTTATTCGTTCCTCCTCCATCAACCCCTGACTGTCTTCATAATTTGATCTTTTTCAGAATGTTATATAGTTGGAATAATATAGTATTATTTCATGTTGGCTTTTTTCATTTAGTAATATGCATTCAAGATTCCTGCATTGTCTTTTTGGGATTGATATCGTACATCATTTCAGCACTGAATATGAATAACATTATATTGTATTAATGTACCATTTTTATTCATTCAGCTATTGAAGGGCATCTTAGTTGCCTCCAATTTTTAGCAATTATGAATAAATCTGCTATAAACATCTATGTGTAGATTTTTATGTGGACATAATTTTTCAGCTCCTTTGGGTAAATGTTAAGGAGTGTGTCTTCTGGGCCATGTGGTAAAACTGTCTAGTTTTATAACAAACTGCTAAACTCTTTTCCAAAGTGGCTGTACCAGTTTGCAGTCCCATATGCAATAGTTGAGAGCTACTGTTGTTTCATATTCTCAGCTGCATTTGATGTTGTCAAAATTTTAGATTTGGGTCATTCTAATAGGTGTATAGTGATGTCTCATTGTTTTATTTTTTTCATTTTCCCTGACATTTGATGTGGTACATCTTTTCATATGCTTATTTGCCATATGTATATTTTCTTTGGTGAAGTTTCTGTTAAGATTTTTAGTCTATTCCTTTTTTTTCCAAGAATTTTAGGATCTTTGTGTCAGGAATCAGGGACAAAGACCAAGAATACTTATCATACCACAGCTGTCTCCTGTTCTTTAACCATAGATCCCTTATAACAAAAGGATCATAATAGTTAAAAAATCTTGGCACACTACTAGCATCCCATTTAGTCATTAATAATTTTTTCCAGTCCATCATATCATATAATATTATCTCCCAGGTTAAGGACAGTATGTTTCCAGGCTTCTATTCAATTTTGTCATGTTCCAAAAGTAGAAGTGGTTTTAGCAATATATGGTATATGGCTTTGTCTTTTCAGGTGTCTGGTATAATTAAACTAAGAGACAGTATCATCTCTTACTCTGAGACTATACTGAAGTGTTGATGTGATACTGGATTTCACTTATCACATAGCCCATTTGTCCATGCCTTACTTTCAGCTACTAATTCTTCTTTTCTCAATTTTTAACCAAAATGTCCACATTTGGAAGGAACTTTAGATTCAGCCACTGTGCTGGTCCAGATTGCAGAGAGCAATACTAGTCTAACAAGTGCCTCTCCTTCAGTTCATTCCCATTTATATGGGGTAGGGTTATATAGATAGAGAACTAGTAGTCCATCTTGATCACTAGGCAGTGCAGCTGCATTAACCCCATTTTGCCAGATAGGATAAAGGCACAATCTGCTCCATGAGGCTCTTGGGAATTCAGTTTAAAAGATGTAAATATATAGTAGCTGAGCATGATGATGCAAATCTGTAATCTCAGCACTTGGGACCCTAACGCAAGAGAAATGCTTGAGTCCACAAGTTCAAAACCAGTCTGGGCAACACAGGAATTCCTCACATCAAAAAATAAATAGAGCTGGGTGCGGTGGCACACACCTGTAATC